GTGGTAGAGTGCTTACGCGGGTGAGTATTCCCATTCAGCAGAGAGGCTCGAGTCAGTTACGACCTGACGTTTTGCAGACATCTCTGTATATTCTTTAAAAAAACAGAAGTAGATGGTCTGCAGGATCGGAAAACGTCAATTACCTCCTGCAACAAAGCTTCACCTGCACCAAAGCTGACAGTTTCCAGTTTCCCTTTATACACAGGTGTGATGTCAGAACCCAGTGGCAGCAGTCACTGCACGCTCCTCCCCACACAGCACAGCCCCAGAACGCACCAGGGACTTCTAGCTGTGCTATCTGCATGGTGCTCACTGTGCTCCTGCTCTACAGTTCTCCAGTGAGCAACTCCACGCAGACATAATATAAAAGAGAAGGCAGGTAAGTTGCTTTCTCATTTTCCTTATAACGACAGAACTGTAGCTAGAACAAGGAGAAACTCACACAAAATTTGTGCAAAGTCAGGCGTAAATCGCTCCTGATAGGTGCGAGTATGGGATTCCATGGTGACCCTGCAGAGAACATCCCTACGGAGACAGCACAAAAAATATCCTATAAACAACTACTAGCGCACTCAGTCATGCGAGGGGGGGAAAACAATGGCCAAAGACACTAGCCCAAGTGTTTCAGGAATGCTAAGGTGAACTGTAGGAAAGCGATGAGGAACATTTGAAGGTCTCCCTTGAGAAAAGAATGCAAAAAGTTACATGGAATTGGTGTCTCCTAGAAATATGTTTTTAGAAGGCTAGTGAAAGTCTGCAGAAATTTGGAGATGGAAATAAACTGCCACTGAAGCCTTTGAATCACCATGACTTTACTTTTCTCAGAATACTGTGGCAGCCCAATCAGCCTTCTCACTTTCAGAAATTGTACTTAAAAGATGCTTTAATATTTTGCCTGATGTTTTCCTGGTAAACAGACACAGTGTTTATATTGCCCTCTAAATTGCATATATTTTAAGGGTAGTACTTTCATCACCTTTGAGACACTAATACTGCAAGATGCTAAATACTAATACGTTAAGACGCTAATGCTAGCTTAACGCAGCTTTATAACACGTCCCTAGAGATATTTACAATCACCCCTTCTAATAAAACAAGAAGGTGAATTAGGGCTGAAGTGGAATAAGGTACCTGTAAACCTCACCTCCCTTGACCTACCTAAAATCCACATTGATCTGAGTCTAAGCCTATCCTACACGTATACAACAAATCACTCAGCAGGCAAAACAGAGTAACAGAACTTAGCTTTTCCACCACTCAAAAGACTTAAATCACCCAAACATCAATAATGAAAACCAACGCAAACCTCTCTGCACTCAGACTGCCAAGACATTTGAATAAAACTTAAAATTACACCCTCAGAATCTTTTGGTTAGTTAAGAGAATTACTGATGGAATCTCACAGTTAAGGGTAGTATCTCACATCCGCTCAAAATCAGATGAAAACCCAAACAAGCTACACTGTGATTGTTTGCCTACAGCTTGAACAGTGCGCAAGCAAATAGAATAGCATTCTTCCCAGTTCAGATCCAAATGAGTGAAAAATGATTTTTTCCTCAATCTCCCTGCATTCTGTTTCGTTTTTATAGAGGAAAAAAAAAATCACTGTCTCAATCACAGCTTATTGGGATGTACAGCAAGTTAAATATTATTCCATTTCTTTTCAGTAGAAAACCCTTAACCATCAAGAATACCTGTATGTGTATTATGTCATGTATATTCTAAACAAGATTTTCTATGGACATTAAAAAACTTAATCCTGACTTCATGAAAGATTCTCATAACCCATTGACATTTGCTTTTTTAAAACAGATGTAGGGGAGTACCCACACCTTCCCATCTCTCCTCTACCCAGAGGAAACCTGCTTAACTTCCACAAAGAGCTGTAATTCACAGTCAAAAAATAAGTTTTTACATCGAGGATGTCTTCACTTCAGTACATAGAAACTACATTCAGACCAATACTAAATGCGACCCAGAGACTCCACAGAACATATCTTAGAATGGTCCAATATTGTCATCTGTTTTGATAGGAGGAATACAAACAGCACACAGCAGGCGAGTGAAAGTAATGAGAGGTAGTAATTTGAGGCTGGCCCATGTAAAGAGAGACTCAAGAGACTAGGACCATTCAATCTGAAAAGCAAAAGCACATGGAGATTAGGGACTGGGATTTGTAGCCTGCACAGGGTAAATGTCACGCCAGGATGTGCAGATTTATCTTCATTCTCCTGCAAAGCCAGAGGGCTGCTGCCAGATGACCTGCTCATTCCCCTAGAAAGATCATTTGTCCTCTTTTTCTTCCTCAAATCTTTCACCAGACAGCACCACTTTCCACAATATAGTGAGCAGCAAATGAAGAGCACCACTCTGTAACACCAGAAAGTGCAGACAGTAAACGAAATGTAGCAGTCACAGATGGAAGGAAGAAGAGAAGAGAAAGTGGAATCATGGAAGGTAAAAATAACCAAAGTATAGAAAATGGGACCAACATTCAAGCAAAAATAGGAATAGACAGAATCAAGCAATAGTGTTTCTGAAAAGAACCACCTGCAGAATAGGAGCAGTCAGGAACTACACCTACCCTGGGAAACCTTATGGAATAATTCACAGAGTCGCTGCCACATGAGAATGGCTGCACCTTCTGTAATGTTAACGGCAGCCTCTGCTTCTAGTGAGCCTCATAATAGTAAAAAAACAAAAAAAAAATAAACCCACCACAATCAACTGAAGATTGGTTTAGTTGAGCCAGCATTATAAGTAAGAACATCTGGCAAATTTTTCCTCTACAGTCAAGGCGGGATATAATTCAGTAAGTAGTGTTTTCTTCCTGGCTTAAAAGTGCCTCTGAAAGTCTCAATTTCTGAAAAGCTCGTAAAGCTGTCACCATCAGACACAACACTGTCATGCAGGTGTACTTTGGCTCAGACACTGAACTCAGAGCTCTGGGGCTCCTATTCCTACAGCTACTTGCTCCTTGCCTTTTGTTAAGGCAAAAACCGTTCCTAACCCTCTCCCTCCTTCTCCTCAGGCATCATCATCCTTTAAATAAACAACAATTATCAAATGAATTTTTTCCAGTTAGTGACTTCACTAACTTCAGTTAGTGACTTAGCTTACTAACTTGATTATTACTGGCTTCATCATAATTCATGTTGCTCTAAAGTTATCCCCACGGTTTGGGGTATAACTCTGAAAATATTTAGGAGCATGTACCCACTGCACAACACCTGCATTTCTTTGTATGTATCACACACGCAGGCCACTGAAGTAAAACTCAAAGAGAGCTCAACACATTCTACTGTGTTAAGTTCTACTTAACTTTACAGATTTTTTTTCCTTCTTACCCCATACCTGAAACTAAGGTCATTCTACTCCGCGTGTGAAGGTGAACAGCTTCCACCTTGCATTTGAAGTGACTAGTGAACGTTTCAGGGGCTTGCTCCTGACTGCTAGGCCACACCGTAAGGCACAACCCAGGCTGACAGCTTCTGCCAGCACAGCGTTATCCTCCAGAGACACGACGCACCCTTGCTCCACAGCATACTGACTCCGGAGGAAGGAAGAAATAAATAAACGAGGCGCCGCACGGCACCGAGGCG